CTGGGGGCTCCTGGAACTCGGCAGAAAATCCTACTCAGCAGGTGGGGTGGGGGAGGCACTGCGGAGTGGTGGGGGGCGGTCCAAGGGGCTGGGAGAGGGTCCGGCCCACTCTCTGCCTGGGCTGGGACTGGTCCCGCAGGTGCAGGGTAGCAGGAAGCTCTCCGCACACTCACCAGACCTGGGCTAGAACTGGGTCTGGGGGCTCCCGGAACTAGGCAGAAAATTGTACTCTGTGGGCTGGGTGGGGGAGGCACTGCAGAGTGGTGGGGGGCTGCCCAAGGGGCTGGGAGAGGGTCCGGCCCACGCTGCGCCTGGGGTGGGACTGGTCCTGCCGGCGCAAGGTAGCAGGAAGCTCTCCGCACACTCACCAGACCTGGGTTAGGACTGGGTCTGGGGGCTCCCGGAACTAGGGAGAAAATCCTACTCGGCGGGCGGGGTGGGGGAGGCACTGCGGAGTGGTGGGTCTGGCCCAAGGGGCTGGGAGAGGGTCCGGCCCACGCTGCGCCTGGGCTGGGCCATAGCCAACTTTTGCAAACAATGAAAATGCCCATCACTTGAGGAATGAATAAAACAGAAGTGATACTTTTATATAGTGGAGTATTACTCAGTTATAATGAGAGACAAACTTGAGGCCTTTATAGGTAAATGGATGCAACTAGAGGCTCTACTTGTATATGAGATAAATCAGACCCACATGTGTAAACATTATGTTGTCTCCCTATGGTAAGAACCTTAAAGAATAAATAAAATCTAAAAGGAATAATAGAGTAAAATGGAGAGAAATTGAACATAATGAACAACAAAGATGAGGGAAAAGATAAAATATAGGAAAAAAGTAAGGTGGAAAATCATGCAAGTACATATTTAGGATACCTGAGAGCATTATGCTACTAATTCCATTAGTTCTTTGATAATATCAGTTAATATTTAACATTTTCACTTTGACTAACTCTATATGCTAATATCTGTAATCTGAGCAACTATGTCAAAGACAGCAATGTGCAGTACAAAAACCACATTGTTCTAAATGTATCCTGGTCTAATTATGAATAAAATCTCTTTAAAATAAACTAAAGAAATAAAAAAGTAAAAAGGGCAATAACAAAAAGAATTAAGGTTTATTGAAAACAAACATAAAAAATGTACAATTATTTGTACAATTTTGCTTACCTTTATCTGTTAATCTGAGCAACAGATTTGACAATAAAAATATGCAAGTGACAGCCATTTTTAATTTGCTATTCTTGTTTTGGAAATCTGTACTATGTGTATTGTTGTATGTTACTCTATTTCTCTTCTCTTTTTTTTTTTTGCTATTTGCTTTTTTCTGTTGTTTTTATTTTTATTGTTTAAAATAAAATAAAAGGCTGGAGAGATGGCTCAGTGGTCTAAAGCACCTACTTAGAACAAGCTTGGCAAGGCATCAGGGACCGCGGTTCAAT